GTGCACCTCCAGGACAGATCGCAGCGCATGAGCGACTCGGCCGCCTTAGAACGGCCCAAAGCTCTGACCCCAAACCCTACACTCTTAGGGATAAGACTTTGCAAGCGTTACAGGCCAATGATGCCCCTATAATGTATTATGAGGCTCAATAACTATCATTATAGGGTTCCGTTTTATACCTTCTGTGCCTCTAGTCTCCCTTGTAACTCCTTTTCGGGAAGACCTTATAGGATCCTAAGTTTGGGCCACATTCTGTAAGGCATGGCTATGTGTGGCTGGGGGGTTTGGGTTTGCGTTATTTTGCGGTACGGACCGGTTCGATCGGTTCGGTACGGGGCCAAGTAATCAGCGCTACAGTCGGTTCGGTTCGAGATACGCTGCGGTTTGCGACTTAAAAGTATGGTTGAAACAGCCATGTTTTTTCAACCCAAGCTATTTGTCGCCTGTTTGCGCGTGCGCCATCCCCTCACTGAGTGTAAACAAGATCATGATTTCGCTCGTCCTTCTTCACAGCAGCTTCCAAGGTATATATGCAACTAAGACATCTAGGATGGTTCACTTCCAATGCCTGAGAATTGTCGGATTTGCTGTGAACCGCGGCTCCCGGTGAATCCTAAACCCTGAAAGCCTAATCCTTGAAAACACTGAACCCTGAACTCCTAAAGTATGCTCACAGCCGTCCTAGAAACTCGCAGGACTTATAGTTCCTAGATTGAATCTAGGGTTCAGGCTTATGACCCTGGCTGTAACCTACAGACCGTCGTTTCTGATCCTTCAAGAATAGAGCCCCAAAACACGAACACTCACACTCGCGCCCACCCTAAACCCTAAAAAATACAAACCCCTAAACCCTAAACCCGAATAGCTAATAATCCCTCAGCCCACATCCCTCTCAGCCCTGGCTGTCGGACAGTTTTGTTCAACCCTATGCTCAGTGGTTGTCAAAATTAGGGTCCCTTTTGGGGTACCCTAAATAATAGGTGCCGTATTATAATAAGGACCCAGCACCCATATGTACCCCAAGTCAACTCTGCAAAGGACGGAGGAGTCGCCTCAGCGCGGTCGGAAAGGCAGCCTGCTGAGCGTGAAGAGCTTCAAGGCTTCATCAAGAGTCCACCCTTGCACCGTGATGCCCTATTAAGGCTTAGGGATTAGGGTTTAGGGATGAGGATTTAGGATTTAGGGTTTAGGGTCTGGGATTTAGGGTTAAGGGTTTAGGGGTCAATAAATTCTGGGTTGATTCTGTGCAGAAAGACTTTCTGCTGAGGCTCTGCCCCATCTTTGGACAGCCTGCTGTCCACACAAAGCTGCTCGTCGGTGGGCCATTCGCTGC